CAGGATGAACATGGCAGATCCGAAGATCGCCGCACCATTCACCCTATGGCCAGCAAAAAACTCACAAAAAGTGTGAGACCTCTCATATAGATGAGAGATAAAGACAAAATCAAACGTCAGCAGGATGAACATGGCAGATCAGAAGATCGCCGCACCGTTCATCATATGGCCAACAAAACTCACAAACAGTGTGAGAACTCTCATATAGATAAAAGATAAAGATATAATAGATAAAGGCGCTAAAGCGGTATTTAAGAAGTAATCACGAGTAAAGTTTGTCAAATGTCAAGGTTATATTATAAAAATAAATGTAATGTACGACAGCTTTTTATATATATATATATATATATATATATATATATATATATATATATATATATATATATATATAATATATATATATATATATATATATATATATATTATATATATAAATATATATATATATAGATAGAGAATTTTATAACATTTTAATTGCTTGAAGAATGGCCCCCCGATAACTTCGGTATAATTTATATTGCCCGATTCGATTAAAATGGACCCCGTCAGGTAGAAATGGCGTCACGGAAGGTCGTATAAAGCCATGGTGTGTCCATAAAAAAACTCTCGGGACCTTCTCTAAAACTACCTGTAGATAATTGTTCAGCATTAAACGCTGCTTTTCAAAAAGAGGGTTGTTCTTTCGCGGGGAAATCATGCATGCGCATACCAATTTTACGTGATATTGATCCAGCAATAAAGCAACCAAGTCGTCAATGCGTGACCCGACTGTTTCGGGCCTTTAAGGCCCGAAACAGTCGGGTCACGCATTGACGACTTGGTTGCTTTATTGCTGGATCAATATCACGTAAAATTGGTATGAGGAGGACAAATCGTTCGTGCCTATCTCCAGAATAACAATATCTGGGGCACACCGAGAAACTACGCCTAAATCAAACTTGCGAATCTTCTTCACTGTTCTACCCCCTATACCGTGTAGAGAAACTCTCGCTGTGCCTTTGAGTTTAAAGGTTGGGCACATGCGAATATCCCGTTTATGTTTCAGGTCGCACTGTAGGCGACGAACAAATGAGTGTCCCAGGACCAAAACTTTTGGGGGTACCATTGTGTATTCGTAGCTACTATCTATATGTATATCAATATATAAATATATAGAAAAACAAGTAGAACACTTCTGTAAATACCTTTCAACTTTAAAGGAGATCTGTCTTTCGCGATGTCACGCTTAAACTGACCGTTTATGGTTTGGGTATTCGGTCTTTGTTAGTTTTCGATTTGCTGCTGGCCATTGACCACCTTTCCCATATTGCATGCCATCCATTACCTGTCGGTCTTTTAGATAGGACGCAAAGCCCATAATATAAGATTTTAATTATCGTCGGCAAGGCGTATCCCCTTGGGGGAACACCTTGCCTTAATAGTCTATTTATAAAATCACATTACATAAATTTCTTATTTCCTTCGTAAATATTTTGTTTTATATTATACTGTACAATCATTCACATGATGGTTATAGTCGGTGCAAACACGCAGTTTGCTTGCAACTGCACATACCATTGTTGTTTTTGGAACTTAAAATTTATGCCAAGAGGATTTACTCGTTGTGATGTTTAATATTGGAGATAAGTTGTTTTTTTAATTACATTGTACTAGATTATATATTTACATATCTATAGAGTATATGTTTACTGTTTAAATATTCATTAAATCAGTATCATATTTAACATTTACATATAACCCAGTGGCACCAATAGGGCTAGTAACATGCTATGGAAGAAATGTTGCAAACACTTTTTAGAAACAGATTTTAAATTATTTTTCCATAGGTTTTCGCACTTTGTATACATGATAATGTTCGCTTAATTCTACTGTTTCTAAAACTTCAATATATATATATATATATATATATATATATATAATACTATAAGGTATCATAAAGTACTACGAATTACTTATATAGTAAATAATCACCAAAACGTTTAGGAGGCCAACACTGCCTTCTTGGTTTAGGCGATAGCTATCCGTTTTGACGCGAAACTTCACAGTCATTACCGCTGGATTCGATCGATTTCTTCAACAACTGTTTCCGAGACAACGTGTCCGCGATGTTTTCTGGACCCGGAAGATACTTAACAGTAAAATCATAATTCTGCAATCTCAGAACCCACGTTTCGACTCGTGCAGAGGGCCTATGGGTTTTGGAATAAATCACTTCTAATGGTTTATGGTCTGTCAAAACCTCAAAGTGAATCCCGAACAAATACACATGAAAACGCTCACAAGCCCATACTATACTTAATGCTTCTTTCTGCGTCTGAGAATACCGCCTTTCCATGTCAGAAAGACATCTACTAGCATATGCCACAACCTTCATTACATTTTGTTGCTTTTGCACAAGCACTGCACCAAGACCAACAGGACTAGCATCTGTGATTATCGACGTTTCTGCATCTTTATCAAAAAAAGCCAATGAATCAGCGGTAGACATCGTATTCTTAAGCTCTTGAAACACCTTATTCTGTTCATTACCACAAACAAAAGGTGTAGTTGTCCTGGTTAACTTCCGCAGAGGTTCAGCCGTTATAGCTAAATCTGGAATGAACAGACTACAGAAATTTACCAGATCAAGAAAACTCCGAACTTCAGAGGCTGTTTTCGGCTCCGTAGCATTCACCACAGCCCTGACTTTCTCCTCAGTGAGCCCAATTGTAGTGTATATGCCTTGTCTCTGATACGGATTGATACAGATTGATCTAGTCTTCATAAAATGTTTTATTCTCTGTTTATTCTATGTTACAGCATCATCCAGCAAGCCAACAACGGTGCTAATTACGCATGCATATTTATATCTTACAGCCTAATTAAATATTCAATATATATATCACATAGACTACAAGATCTGGAGCTGAACGCCCATGGTCATTTAATTTACTTTATCTTTTCACAAAGTTCATAATGAAAAACGGTTATGGTAGGATTCGAACCATCGATTTAACACTTCGGAGACCATTGTTTTCGCCACTAGACCACAAGGTCTTGTGCTGAACGGTTATGGTTATTTAATTTACTTTATCCTTTTCACGAAGTTCATAATGAAAAACGGTTATGGTAGGATTCGCACCATCGATTTAACACTTGGGAGACCATCGTCTTCGCCACTAGACCGCAAGGTCTTGTGCTGGATGACCCTGGTTATTTAGTCTACTTTATCCTTTCACGAAGTTCATAATAAAAAATAGTTTTGGCGGGATTCGAAACATCGATTTAACACTTGGGAGGAAATTGCCTTTGCCACAAGACCACAAGGTCTTGTGCTGAATGACCCTGGTTATTTAGTCTACTTTATCCTTTCACGAAGTTCATAATAAAAAATAGTTTTGGCAGGATTCGAAACATCGATTTAACACTTGGGAGAAAATTGTCTTAGCCACTTGACCACAAGTTCTTTGGGTGAACGGCTATGTTTATTTGATCTACTTTACTGTTTTAACGAAGTTCATAATGAAAAAGGCTTATGGTAGGATTCGAACCATCGATTTACCACTTGGGAGACCATCTCCCTCGCCACTAGACAGCAAGATCTTGTGCTGAAATGTAATGGTCATTTAATTTATTTTATCCTTTTAACGAAGTTCATAATGAAAACGGTTAAGGTAGGATTCGAACCATCGATTTAACACTTGGGAGACCATCGTCTTCGCCTCTAGACCGCAAGCTCTTGTGCTGGATGACCATTGTTATTTAGTTTACTTTACCCTTTCCACGAAGTTCATAATGAAAAACGGTTATGGTAGGATTCGAACCATCGATTTACCACTTGGGAGACCATCGCCCTCGCCACTAGACAGCAAGATCTTGTGCTGAACGGTTATGGTTATTTAATTTACTTTATCCTTTTAACGAAGTTCATAATGAAAACGGTTATGGTAGGATTCGAACCATCGATTTAAGACTTATGAGACCATCATCTTCGCCTCTAGACTGCAAGGTCTTGTGCTGGATGACCATGGTTATTTAGTTTACTTTATCCTTTCACGAAGTTCATAATAAAAAATGGTTTTGGCAGGATCCGAAACATCGATTTAACACTTGGGGGAAAATTTTCTTAGCCACTAGACCACAAGTTCTTCGGGGGAACGGCTATGTTTATTTGATCTACTTTATCGTTTTCACGAAGTTCTAAATGAGAAAAGGTTAAGGTAGGGTTCGAACCATCGATTTAACACTTGGGAGACCATTGTTTTCGCCACTAGACCACCAGATCTTGTGCTGGATGACCCTGGTTATTTAGTCTACTTTATCCTTTCACGAAGTTCATAATAAAAAATAGTTTTGGCGGGATTCGAAACATCGATTTAACACTTGGGAGAAAATTGTCTTTGCCACAAGACCACAAGTTCTTCGGGTGAACGGCTATGTTTATTTGATCTATTTTACCGTTCTTACGAAGTTCATAATGAAAAACGGTTATGGTAGGATTCGAACCATCGATTTGCCACTTATGAGACCATTGTCCTCGCCACTAGACGCAAGATCTTGTGCTGGATGGCCATGGTTATTTAGTTTACTTTATCCTTTTACGAAGTTCATAATGAAAACGGTTATGGTACGATTCGAACCATCGATTTAACACATGGGAGACCATCGTCTTCGCCACTAGACCAAAAGGTCTTGTGCTGGATGCCCATGGTTATTTAGTTTACTTCATTCTTTTCATGAAGTTCATAATGAAAAATGGTTTTGGCAGGATTCGAAACATCGATTTACTACTTACACTGCAAAAAAAGTGTTTTTGAATTCGAGTAAAATTACTCAAAAAGTTGAGTAAAACGTTATTTTTACTCAATTCATGCGTAGATTTACGCGAATACCGAGGGGTTCCACTCAAAATTTTGAGTAAAGTGTTTACGCAAATGTTTAAGTAAATTGTTTTGAGTAACTTTGGATGATATACTCAACAAGCCGAGTAAATATACTCACATTGAGTAAATTAACTCAATTTTACGATAAAACTTGATAATTTACTCAAACATTGAGTAAACTGATTATTTGCAATTACATTTTACTCAAGGTCTGAGTAAAATGAATGCTTCAGTTTAACGGTTTTACTCAAGTATTGAGTAAAATTACTCAACATGATCATTTGCTGGTAATTTTACACACTTCACGAGTAAAAGAGTAAAGTGAATAATTTGCGTAGTGGAAGCACTGCGAATGTATGAATTTTAGTCTTTGGCAACTGATAAGTCGCAGAGTCTGTTGTGCGTTAGAATCTGTTGAATAATCTGCGCTGGACGTTAAAAGCCAAAAAGATGGAAAAATCAATTGACGGGTTAAAAGAGTAGTTGGTGGAAATGGGTTTTGAGGATTATATTGTGCGCAATTTGAAGGTAAATATACATATAACTGCAGGGCTAACCTTTGGCCGATCCGTTCATTGACTTCATTCCGCTGTTTACATGTTTTATCCTCGGTTTTATTTGTTTCTATATGTTGGTTTCTTCGGCTAAACGCCGCATGGCACTAACTGCAGAGATTCGACGAATGCAGTCTTTCAATAGATGTTTTTGCGGAAGGGCATATACAGTTCGTGTATTACAAATCCGCCAATATTCTGAAATCAAATGTTTGATTTTGGCGCGCAAAAATAACGGTATCCGGTCAATTAAATAAAATATTTACATGTTTATATAGAGCGCTCTTAGTGCTCTTATTCATGCTTTTTATTGCAAGAATATATGCCAGGGTATTTTGATATTGAAATTATTAATGTATCAGTGTGACAGTGTTTTTTTCACCAGAAAATCTGTAACTTCAACAACCCTGTCTTCTGTTTATTTTGTCATATTTTAAATTTAATATTACACAATATATTACACAGAGTTTATACTATTGTCTATTGGCCAGTTTATAATGTTAATTGTTTACTAATAAACATGGTAAACACTTTGCCATTTTCAAATGGCAAAGTGTTTACCATTGATTTTGAGACTTGTCATGAGTACATGCTATATCTACTATCTATATAGTGAATATCATAGGCTATTAGAGTCCACTGTTCATGAACAGATGACTGCCATATTTTGAAGATTCTATAAAATGTTACTGCCTTTCTGGTTTCTTCGAAAGAAAATAATGCAACTATTTTACCACAATGAATAAACCTGCAAAGGATTTAGCCATAAATGCTTTACTTTAAAAATTTAGAAAACAAAATTGGAAATGTTTTGATATATACCTTACTGACAGGGGCCCTGGAAAAAGTGATTTCAACAAAAGGGAATGAAATTTTTGAAAATGCTGGAAGAGAGTGCTGGAAATGGCATTCAGGAATCAGGAAATTGGAATGAGGTTAGCTCACTGCATTTGTAACTGATTACTGATAGAAAAGTGCGTTTCATATTTGTAAATTCTCAATTTGCTCACCTCAATATCAGATTATCACCTAGAATTAACAAAATCCTGGATTGTATAATTCAAAGGTTTTTGAAACCACATAAACTGGACCAATGTATTAATAATATTATATTCTTCTGAAAGTCATGCATCAATTTATATACAACAATAATTGGTGTGTTATCGTGAATTCATTATTGACTAGTTTAATATTATAAGTAGTTTTTTTACTGGGTATGCCTTTAGTCTGTCCAAACAGTGCTGTTTAACAGCTTCAGTGCAAGGTGGTCAACGCCGCCTTTTGCCTTTATCTCTTCCTGGTGGAACTTGTAAAAGATCCGCCAGTTGTCGAGGACTGTTAAAGCAGTGCTTCATTGCATATACTATATACATTTATATTATAAGTAGTTTTTTTTACTGGGTATGCGTTGAGCCTGTACGAGCAGTGCTGTGTAACAGCTTCAGTGCAAGGTGGTCAACGCCGCCTTTTGCCTTTATCTCTTCCTGGTGGAACTTGTAAAAGATCCGCCAGTTGTCGAGGACTGTTAAGGCAGTGCTTCATTGCATATACTATATGCATTTATATTATAAGTAGTTTTTTTTTCTGGATATGCCTTGAGCCTGTACGAGCAGTGCTGTGCAACAGCATCAGTGCAAGGTGGTCAACGCCGCCTTTTGCCTTTATCTCTTCCTGGTGGAACTTGTAAAAGATCCGCCAGTTGTCGAGGACTGTTAAGGCAGTGCTTCATTGCATATACTATATACATGTTTTTTTTTCTGGGTATGCCTTGAGCCTGTACGAGCAGTGCTGTTTAACAGCTTCAGTGCAAGGTGGTCAACGCCGCCTTCTGCCTTTATCTCTTCCTGGTGGAACTTGTAAAAGATCCGCCAGTTGTTGAGGACTGTTAAGGCAGTGCTTCATTGCATATACTATACACATTTACATTATAAGTAGCTTTTTTTACTGGGTATGCCTTGAGCCTGTACGAGCAGTGCTGTTTAACAGCTTCAGTGCAAGGTGGTCAACGCCGCCTTTTGCCTTTATCTCTTCCTGGTGGAACTTGTAAAAGATCCGCCAGTTGTCGAGGACTGTTAAGGCAGTGCTTGAAGGCATATGCTATATACATTTATTAGGGGTGCATATTGTGTTTTTGGGCAAGGTTGCTAGGTGTGTCATCATAAATGCATTATCGACTAGATTGATGTTATAGTTTCTTTGTTCTTTAGCCTTGAACCTGTATTAGTGCAACCAGGTGTCAAGGACTGTCAGGCTTCAATGCATTTACTATACATATTTATGTTGTCTCGCATTGGTTTGTCCTCGTTCATAATTCAGTGGTTTGCTGGCGACATGCGTGCTTTTGCTGGTTGTTGGCAAAGAGAGGAAGCATAATATCTGGCCAGGGCCATTATCTAAGGCATGCATGTATTAATGTCACACGAAGCGACAAACGTGAGCATAATAATCCGTTGTGCTTTTTATAGTTGAACGGACTGAAGTCGCATTGTCTACCTTCGTACCATTTATCAATGTAAGTTTTCCGTTGAATCATTTACATTTGAACAGCAGTCTTAGGTGTGTAATCTTAGCTTCACTTTTTCAGTGCCTATACTTAATGAATTGTGTATCTTTTGTTTTATGTAGGAAAATGAAGATATTGAGAAGATGATTAAGAAAAGCTATAAACACTATGACCGCATGACCCTAACATGCATAATGATAAATATATACGCATGATTCTTAAACGTACATTACCGTATTTTATAAATTATAAATTTATGCAATATAAAATTGTTTCACTCGTGGTTGCGTGTAATTTCTTTACTTAAATCCGAATTTTTTCCTAATCTGTTTGGTCGACTCACTTTACTCGCATTTTGAGTGAATTTACTCAAAAGTATGTGTTACTGTGGACGCATTCACTTTACTGTAGTATTTAAGTAAATCTACTCAAGCAGAATGAGTAAATTTACGCAAAAGTATGTGTTACTGTGGACGCATTCACTTTACTCAAGTATTTGAGTAAATCTACTCATATTTGAGTAAATCTACTCAAGCAGAAAGAGTAAATTTACGCAAAAGTATGTGTTACTGTGGACGCATTGTTTTACTCAATTTTTTGAGTAAATCTACGCAAAGTTTTTTTGCAGTGTAGGAGACAGTTGTCTTAGCCACTAGTCTGCAAGGTCTTGTTCTGAACGGCCATGGTTATTTAGTTTACTTTATTCTTTTCACGAAGTTCATAATGAAAAAAGGTCATTGCAGGATTCGAACCATCGATTTAACACTTGGGAGACAATTGCATTAGCCACTAGACTACAAGATCTTATGGGGAATGGCCATGGTTATTTAATTACTGTATTTCTTTTGACGAAGTTTATAATGAAAATCGGTTATGGTAGGATTCGAACCATCGATTTACCGCATGGGAGACAATTGTCTTCTCCAATCGACTAAAAGTACTTGTGCTGAACGGCCATGTTCATTTAATTTACTTTATCCTTTTCACAGATTTATAATAAAACACGGTTATGGTAGGATTCGAGCAATCGATTTGCCACTTGGGAGACCATTTCAGTTTGACAACCTTCAATCCAGCTGTTTTTGTAGCATTCTAGTAAAATTTTCCTTCACAGGCAGCTAGTGATCTAGAATAAAAATAACCAATGATTCAATATTTTGTCCACCACCACCCAAGGTGTGTGTACATAGCTTTTACTAGTAAAAAACTCTAATATGTCTTTCCCTGAACAAGTAAAGGTGTCGGGTTTAAATAGAAATAAACACACTTACAATGATTTCACAACTTCTTCTTCTTCTCGTTCCCGTTTGCTTCTATCCGATTCGTTAAACAAGTTTTTAAAAAAATTCTCTAAAGCTGATAACGTGATGTTATAATTGAATCACCATCTTTTGGTGTATGGAAATGAATATTGTGTTTTCGTACTGCTTAATTCACGACCAATATGTCGGTTGGTCGGCAGCTCTATATATTTTTTATGATATTTATTTCATCTAACGAGTTTCGTACATCTCGACCAATTAATATGGCATTTAAGAGTACTAATTGCACGGATTTGGATGGATTGGCTGCGGATGGCATAACCTTGAGTATTTGTGGAGATATTGCTTTTCGATGTCGGGTCAACATACAACGAGTTGGTTTTGAATCTAAATACAAAGTCTCATTTGCGATTGCTAAAGAAACGAAACATGGATTTGTTAGTCTAGTCCTGTGTACGAAGCCTTCAAGCAGGATCTAACAATGTGTGTGGATGTTTCGCCTAATCCTGGTCCTCAATCTTTTGATAATAATCAGTCGGATGAGATGTATCAACATCGAAAGCAGTTACGTTTGATGAACACGTTTCGACCCGCTAATAATCCTGAGGAGCTTAGTTCGATGCTTGGGCAGTTGAATCTACAGAAAGGTTGGTTGTTCCATATGACCTATAGGAATATTTGCTATAATACCTACTTCGCAAACACCACCGCCACACTATACAATCACTATCATCCTGCAAATCATCAGGAAGCTATCCCTGTTAGAATCACGGACCGTGTCCCAAAGCCTGTAAATATATATGGCAGAAATTATATTAAGAGAATCAATCTCATCAATATTCCTTTATCAGGCATTGCCAACACTCCTGATACAGCTGTTACTCAGCTTTGTTCTTTTGGTCTTCTCAACTGACGGTCTATTCGGAACAAAGCGAATTTAGTCAAAGACTATGTGGTTGAGAATGAATTTGATATATTTGCGATTACAGAAACCTGGCTTCACCCTGACAAATTTGATCATATATCTTTTGGGAATTTCACCCCGAAGGGCTACTCCTTTAACAATATCTCGAGACAACAAGGTAGAGGGGGAGGCATTGGTATACTATACAACAACACTTTAAAAGTCAAGCTGGACTCGGCGAAAATGTTCTCACATATTAAGTCTTTCGAAGTGATGGGTATGCAAATCAATGTGTCATCTCAAATTCTAAATATAATCGTATTATATCGACCTCCATGTAGACGATAAGTCGGAATTAACAACAAAAAAATTCTCAATCTTGTTGATTCTTTTAATCTGGAACAACGGTACAGCAACCAACACACTTTGCTGGTCACACGTTAGACCTTATCTTGTCTCGCCATGAGGAAAATATTGTTCAATCTATTGACGTTCATGATCCATCTATATCTGACCATTACACGGTTACATATGAACTCAATTTTAAAAAACCATTGTTTCAGAGAAGGGTCGTGGAGTCACGTAAAATTAAAGCAATCAATATGGACTCGTTCCTTAATGAAATTAGGCTATCTCCGATTAACACTGGGAACACGGCTGATATAAGTGCGAAAGTCAACCAATACAACTCGGAGCTGCCCAAAATTCTGGATCATCATGCACCACTTATTTCCAGAGAGATAATTATTCGTCCAGCTGCACCTTGGTACACTGAAAAATTAAAAACGAAAAACGTATCAGAAGGAAACTCGAGCGGGTATGGCGTAAGTCAAGACAATCCTGTGATCGTCTAAAATACAGTCAGCAATGTCGCCGTGTCAGTGAGCTATTATAGGAAAGTCGTACTCGTTATTATTCTGAAATTGTTAGAGATAATGGGAGTGACCAAAAGAAATTATTTAAAACCGTTGGAAAGTTACTACATTATACCCCTGATTCTCAATATCCTGTGTGCCAATCTGATGAGAATCTAGCTAACAATTTTATGACTTTCTTTGAGGACAAAATTAATAAAATATATGAAGATCTAACGGAATCCACTTAGCTAAATAAAATGTCGTTGTTTGCAGCTAAATGAAATGTCGTTGTTTGCAGTAATCCTCAGTTATTCTCCTGGTTTCTCATCGTTCCCAGTCTCTTCATCCTTACTGCGAAAACTGGTTTGAAAATATTAAAGATTTGGTGGAGAAATACTTCAAGTGTGTGGTCTTCTTTTTTCTTTATATTTTGTTATGTAAAAATGTAATATTTTGGTATGTTGATTTTTGTTTAAGTTCGTGATGTATTTCTATGTAGCCTCAGTCTTATCCTAATGGGAATTTTTTTTTAGATGTGAAGAGAGGACGGCCAACCGAATTAAAGCTCTAAATGTGCTTTGTAACATATTAGGAACGTTATCTCCACTATATGAGGTATAAAATTTTAGTACTTTGAATAAATTTTAGTCCATTTTTCTAGACATTAGCGATATTATGAATCTTTTTCTAGTTTTATAACTCCTTGTTTTTTACAGGAAGAAATACTTGAGAATTCAGTGTTGCCACATTTAGACCACATTGTCAAAGATCGGGATATTTCTGTGCGGATCCGAGCTGTCCAGCTTCTGGTCGATGTTATTGAATCCTCTGATTCACCGAAAGTTTGCGATGTTTTGCATATAATCGAGAAGGTACTCAATACAATCATTTTCAGACGGTTTCATTTCTCCACTCCAATTTCCCTCTTCATTCGTGATGAGCTGATACTGTACTTCAATAGAAAACTCTTTCTTATCAGTGAAAGCTTCCTGACCTGAACCTAACTATATATCCGCAAATTGGATCGTTTTACACGGGGGTCGTGAATGCAAACGCATCAGTGAAGTAAAAGGATATATATTTCATTTATCAATTCCAGATTGCCACTGTCCAGTTGATCCTCTCAAACGATACGTTAAGCCGTCATGTAAAGAACATGTAAGGTAATTATAGAGACTGCAAGGTATATGTAGGAACATCTAGAGACATAAAATTACATCTAATCACTGTAATTTGTCTTTGTTGCTGCAGCCTCAGGATGAA